TGCGGCTCACGCGTCTTGACCTGCCCCGGCACGTGCTTGCACTTCTCCGGGTCCTGGTCCCCAGACACTGGGCAGCCTGGCCGTGTCTGGCTTCGCCTCCGCTACGGGCGCTGGGCCTCGTCCTCCTCAGCCGCAGCGGTGGCGCCCGTTACCTGGCCGCATACTCTCCCCGTTCCGCGGTTTTGAGTGTGCCCTGGCGTCAGGTCTCGCGGTTCTGGCCTGTCCCAGCAGTGCTTGCACTTTCCTGGCTTTGGTCTTCCTGCCGTCCCCTGGGGTACTGGCCGCCGTGCCTTTCAGGAGTGGCTCGGCCTTCTTGCTCAGCCTGGCGTGTCCCCTGGCGGTCTGCCTCCGTCCTCTGGCGCCCTGTGGCGACAAGGATTAATTTTTTGTGCCTGGTGATCTCGCTTCCACGGTACTCGCACGTTGCAATTCCCTGCCGCCCCCGCAGCTGGCAGTTTCCACCCCTCGGCGCAGCTCAGCCCCATCGCAGCTTTCCTCAACGGTAGGTTTGACGGCCCGCTCGGTGCGCGCGCCGGCAATTCGGCTGCTCGCGGCCCGTGCTACTCTACCGACGCTGTCGGCAGGTCGGCCTACAGCTGCGATGAAAAAGTATCCCACCAACCCATTCATTAACAGATCGCCAGGCGTGTGGCATGCAGTGTAAGAACCGATTTGGGAGCGCTTTCTCTGATGTTCTCTTAAGGTCTCTTGGAGGCTATCCTGAGCCATGCTCAGCTATCTGGAGGTCTCTTGGAAATGAAGTTATCTTGGGTAATGCTCAACCTCCTGGGACCATCTTGGGTGTAGGAGGAGGAGGAAGAGGAGGAGGAGGAGGAGGAGGAGGACGAGGAGGAGGAGGAAGAGGGCGAGGAGGAGGAACAGCAGGAGGAACCAGAGAAAAAGACGAGGAGGGGGAAGAAGAAGAGGAGGAGGAGGAAGAGGAAGGTGGCACCAGGAAGAAAAATATTAATAAGAAGAAGATGATGATGATGATTATGATGATGATGATGATGATGAGGATGATGCCGGTGCTGATGCTGATGCTGATGATGATGATGCTGATGGTGATGATGATGATGATGATGATGATGATGATGGTGATGATGATGATGATGCTGATGCTGATGCTGATGCTGATGCTGATGCTGATGATGATGATGATGATGATGATGATGCTGATGATGATGCTGATGATGATGATGAGGAGGAGGAGGAGGAAAAGGAAAAGGAGGAGGAGGAGGATGGAGGAGGCAGGGAAGGAGGAAGGACAAAACGGACGATGACAAGGGGGATGACAAGTCGGGCTTCGGAGGTGTGCTGTTGTAAGAGATGTTTGACGGACGACGAAGGCCATCTTTTGGGCTCTCTTGGGGCCCCTGGGGGCTTCTCGGGGTACTCTTGGGGCTCCTTGGGGGGTGCCTGGGAGGCCTCTTGATGCGATTTTGGGTACACTGTTCGGAAAGAGGGGGGGATCCTAAATTCAAGCCGCCCCCTGGGAGGCTCAAGATTGGCGTCTTGGGACGCTCTTGGAGCGCTCTTGGGCGCTCTTGGGGCCCTCTTTGGGCTCTCTTGAGCCCCTCCTGGGGCTCTCTTGGGCTAGTGCCATCGGAGGCGACACGGCGACACGTCGAGACGGCACAAAACATTGAGGTTCCTTAGGTTTTGGAGCCATGTTGGCCTCTTGGGGGCGTCCTTGGAGGGCTCGGGGGGCACTTGAAACGATCTCGGGGCCGTCTTGAGGCCTCTTGCGTTTGCGTCGGCGGCTATCTTGAGCCATCTTGAGCTATCGTGAGCCATCTTGGAGGCCATCTTCATCTTGCGCTATCTTGGAGCCACCTTGGGCGATCTTGGGCGCTCTAACCCCTCGCCGGCGCCCCCGTCCAGATTCAGGGGAAGGGGGCAGGGGGAGGGGTCAAGACACCCCCCAGATAGCAAGCCGTCTAGCTCGCTCCCCCCCGCCCTCCCAACACATCAGTTACACCCGAGCCTCAGCATGTTCAGCAGTCGTCTTTGGATGGGCAGCTACTGGGAACCAAAACCGACCCCATGTGCGCGACGCTGGGGCCAGATGCGCCGCGCGTGCCAGGCGCGCCACGCCCGCTAGGCACCCATGGGGCCCGAGCGTGCCAGGCACGCCTGGTGCGCCAGATGCGCCACGTGCTCCGCGTGCGCCAGGTGTGCCGCATACTCCAGCCGCGCCAGGTGCGCCACGTTCGGGGCACATGCAGAGTGTGTCAGGTGCGCCTGCGCACGTAACAGCACTTATGGGGAAACATGTCGGCCCCCACCATCCTTGTCGAAAATGAATCCCCATCATTGTGTCTGGTGGACCTGCGCACAGCAGGCCATACGCCACCACCCCCGCCTTCCCTGTCAAGCATCACTTGACAGTGAAAGTGGCGTGGCGGCACCTGATCCAGATTTAGCCGCGAGGTGCATGTTGTACTGATTTTTGTGTTAGGGGTGGTAGCCCTGCGCGCAGCAGGCAATATGCTGACACCCCCGCCGTCCCGGTCAAAAGCCATACAAGTGCGCGCGGGCCTCACGAACATGACTGCAACTTTTGCCCCAACGTGTATTATTTTTTCACAGGGATGGTGGGGGGGCCTCAGGGGTCCTCATTGTTCCTGGTTGGTTGCCGGTCGCCTGGCGGAGGGGGTGTATATTAATGGGGAACAGTGATAACCCCCTCCCCCGAGCAGGGGAAGCAACGTTTTTGGCAGGGAGAATGCAAAACTCGTTGAACCACCTACGCCCAGAGGGCTGGTGGGATTTACAGGGAATTACAGTTCGGGAGCGCGAGCGCGACGTACATTAAAATGGGTTGTGACCTCGGGAGTGCGAGTGCGCTAGAGATGGGGGCAGCCGTCGTACCGAACATCGGGAATGGCTTGAGCATGCCTAGGAGTCAACCACCAATGTCTTCGCGGGTCTTTGGATATGGGAGCCCTTTGTAGCTTGTCTGGGCCATCTTGGGGCCCTGTTGGGGCTATGTTGGCGGTCTTTCGGGCCTTGTTGGGACCCTCTTGGGGTCTCTTAGGGTCTCTTGGGGCCCTCTTGGTGGCCTTGGGGGCCGTTTTGGGGCCATCTTGTATGACATCGATCGAGGCAAGGGGAGTCCTCAGTGACGGCTACTCCTCTTGATCCCAAACGATCGCGTTCTGGGGCCCTGTCGGGGTTCTCTTGGGGTGCTCCGAGATGCTCTTGGGGCCTTCTTGGGGCCATCTTGGACCTCATTTTGGACTCTGGGGCCATCTTGAAGCCGTCGTAAGGCTTCAAACATGTACCAGAAGCGAACAGGCGAGAAGGTCCACACCATTTATTTTCCTCAGGTTTTGGGGGGGCTTTGTCATCTTGGGGATCTCTTGGACTCGTTGGGGGCTTCGTGGAGGAGCTCCGTAGCCACTTGAGGCTATCCTTGGAGCGGTCGCGGGGCCTCTTGCAGTGCCATCTGGCATATCTCGAGCACTCTTGGAGGTCATCTCGGACACGTCTGATACCATCTTGGAGCCATGTTGGCCCAGAAGCTTCCCAAGGATGTCTGATGTCCCCGATGTGTTCTTTTGTTGAAGACCATCGTTTTTACAATGCTCGTGTTGCTCAACGAGGAGGGTTCTTAAGTAGGTTTCCCCTTTGGAGCTAGAAACGAGCCTCGTGGGGCCTTCGTTGGGCCGTCTCGGGGCCGCCTTTGGGCCGTCTAGGGGGCCCCTCGCAGGCCGCCTTGGGCCCCTCTGGAGACCCTCCTGGGCCAGCTTGGGGCTGTGTGCACCGATCTTCGGTCGAAGACTCGGACAACGAAACGTATTGCAACACCGGCGGGATACCAACGTCGGTCCAACCTGCCATCGTGCCTCGGTTGTAGACCAAGGGCCTCTTGGATGCCAGATGCCCCGCTTTATCTCGTGGGAGGTCTCTTGGTGGCCTTTTGGAGGCCTCTTGGAGGCCTCATGGGGACCTCGTGGGGACCTCTTGGCGACCTCTTGGGGCCCCTTGGGGGGCCATTCGGTGGGTCTCGAAGGCCATCTTGGGGTCCAGAGCTCCACATGTCAGTTAATGTTCCCCGTCTTGGGGGCCTCTTGGAGGGCATCTTGGAGCGACCCTGGGGATCTCTTTGGCCGTCTTGGGCGCCCTTGAGGCCGACGGGACGAGACGGCTCAAATCATCGAACACCTGCAGCACTCGGGGCGGCTCCCAGAGAATCCACGGCGGTCCATGAGGGCCCCAGGACGGACCTTGAGATCATTTGACAAAAATGTCGGACGTGTGGAACCCGCCAACCACGATTGCGAAGCCTTTGGAAGAGTCACGCGGCGATTCCCACAACCACCCGAGAGCGGTCGGAACTTCGTGTCTGCCCCCAGACGTATTTACAATATCCATTTCTCGTATAAGTCGAAGAGACACGAGGTGGCGATTATCATTGCCAGTACGGTTGGAATTTCAATGGCAGCTATCATTGTCCATACCATTTTTGATGCCATTGTTTTTACATTGTCATGATAGTCAGCACGCCACTTTCGTCAACACTGCCATTGGCCCCGTGATTGCCGTTGTCCATGTCGTTCGACACCCGCTTGCTCGCAGTGATATGCTGTTGTAACTCGAGCTGCCGCTGCCGCGCCCACGAACCAACCGTTGTTGGAGCTCTGCTGGCATCTCCGCTCTTGGAGCGCTCGTGGCCGCTCTTGGAGCCATCCTGAGGCTCTCTTGGGCCCTTCTTGGAGCTATCTTGAGCCATCTTGGAGCCAACTTGACGCCTCGGATGTGCATCGTAAGCAAAAAAGTGAGAACACCAAAAACATTGATTTTGCCCAGAGTTTTGAAGCATTTTGGCCTCTTGGATGCTTCTTTTCGCGTCTGCGGCAGTGCGTACATCCCGCCGTCCGTGCCACTGCTCTCTTCCCCCTGTCGCCCGCTGCCGCCTCCTGCCGGTGTCTGCGGTCCGCCCCTGCCCTCTCTCCTCGCCGCCCCGCCCCGCCCCAGCGCGCGCGCGCGGGCAGGTGCCGCACCCCCAGGTCATCGAGAAGACGATCGAGATCCCCAAGATCCAGATCGAGGAGAAGATCATCAACGTCCCGAAGGCGGCCGTGCGGGAGGGGCGCCCCGGCGCCGGGGCTGCGGAGCGCGGCGCGAGGAGCTCGGGGGAGGAAGCGGGGGGGAGGGACGGGCGGGGGAATGCTCAGGAGGGAAAAAAACACACAGACACAATTCATCGTCCATTCCCAGGAAAATATGGGAAAATATGGGCAGGGGGGGGGGGGGGGGGGGGGGGAAAAACCCAGAAAATATGAGAAAATATGGGGAATATTTTTATTTGTGTGTATTTATTTGTGTGTCCTGGGGCCCCTTCAGAAGAGAGGGGAAGGGGGGACGGGCGTGGGTGGGAGAGCGATAAAACGGTGAGCATGATGATGGTGACGGCGACGATGGCGAGGGTGATGATCTTGATGATCATGATGGTGAGGAGTATGAGGACGATGACTGGTGACGACGGTCATGGTTTATGACGGATAGGAGAGTACGAGGGGGAGGAGGTGGAGGAGATTGAGGAGGAGGAGGAGGAGGAGGAGGACGAGGTTTAGGAGATTGCGGAGGAGGAGGAGAAGGAGGAGGAGGAGGAGGAGGAGGATTATTATAGGGTATGAGAGATGGTGATGATGAGGAGTTGGAGGAGGAGTTGGAGGAGGAGTTGGAGGAGATTGAGGAGCGGGAGAAGGAGGAAGAGGTATGAGGGGTGATGAGGGAGGACGAGGGAGAATGGCTGAGGAGAATCAGGTCGAGCTCAGGCCATAGCACCGGCTTCCACATCTGTGCATGCGGGCCTGGTGTCCTTGCCGTAGACCCCGTCGTCGACAGGTCTGACGCCTCTGCTGGCCTGGGCCCTGCCGTTGGCGCAGCGTGTTAACCTTCACGGGCCGCTGCGGGGAGCGAGGGATCAAGCCTGTGCGAGCAGGGCGGCAGTATGGCCGGGGGTCAGCAGGACTGCTCAGCACCGTCGGTTCCGATCCGCCGTGCGGCCGGTGACGGTGCCGTGCTGGCCGCGGATGGGGTTCCCAACTCGGCCGGCGACCGCTGCCTCGGTGCCCTCCTGGATGGGTGGGGGCCCTGGTGGCAGGACGGAGCCTGTGGTGTGATGGGCCTGTTTTCCACCACCACCACCACCACCACCACCACCACCACCATAAGTTGGGGGGTGAGGGGGTCCTCCTCTTCCTCCTCGTCCTCCTCCTCCTCGTCCTCCTCCTCCTCGTCCTCCTCCTCCTCGTCCTCCACCTCCTTCCCCCCTCCAACTTATGGTGGTGGTGGAAAACAGGCACATCATGGTGTCAGGCAGCGCTTCGGTCCTGGTGGACCCTGCGTTTGCCCTGGTGTGCCCAGACTCGGCACCCAGATCGGGCGATCGGGCCCACGCGCTGCCTGGCACGCTGGTCGGCAGGTCCGCCTCGACGCAGATGTCCTTGACGTCATTCGGCTTGTCAGCACGCGAGAGTGCTGTCGTGGAAGCTGGTGACGTGGAAGGTGGTGCTGTCAGTGGCGTTTGCCGTGCCGTGGGTGTCACTCAGGCCTCGACTGGATTCGCCCTGGGCTCCACCCTGGTGGGTATACCCTTAGGGTTTTGCGGTGGCTGCCGCAGATGAGTCCAGGGTCTTCTGATGACGGTTACCCACTCCGAGGCAGTTGTTGGGACGATGACGACAGAGTCCTAAGGATCTTCGGTCTGTGTTTTGGCCCTGGTGGGGTGTTGTTGGATGCTACTGGTGTGTGAGATCCCGTGATCGGCCTTGTGCAAAGGCGGCACGATCGGGACGTCCCAGTTTGGTGCATCACGGCTGCTGAGAGGGGCGCTGCCGTTGCCGTGGTGGGCGTCGGCCGCGGCCGTGGACCCTGCTGAGTGACAGCTGGTGCCCGTCTTGTTTCTCAGGGGGTGGTGCAGCTTGATGTAGCTGCCCATCTTCCTTCCGCACAGTTTCATGAACCGTCCCTGAGTTTACGCTGGTTGGAGCGGTGTCGATGGTAAATGTTGTGAATGTCGACTTGATGCGTATGAGCAGGTTCGTTGTAAGCAGTAAGTGTTCGGTCGGCGCCACGACTACTCTGGAGTGCGGCGGCCCTTGCCTGGTGGCTCGGCTGCAGGGGTAAATGAAGCGCACGGCACAGACTCTCTGGAACCATTGTGCCGCGAGCTGACTGGAAATGGGAGGAAGAGACATTTAGTGAACCAAAGCGGGCAACCATTGTGAAAGGAGGATGCGGAGGAGGAAGGAGGAGGAGGAGGAGGAGGAGGAGGAGGACGCGGAGGAGGAGGAGGAGGAGGAGGGAGGAAGTGGAGGTCCTGTTGTGAGGGGCACGCGTCCTGTCTCGCTATGCGATGTATGGAATGCTGGGAGCTTGGTGCCTTGGCTGCACCCGGGGTCCAGAGACCCTCGGCCCGAAATTGGAAGGATGGAGGGAGGATGAGCATAATGAGGAAGAGGAGGGGGAGGAGGAGGAGGAGGAGGAGGAGGAGGAGGAGAAGGAGGAGGAGGAGGAGGAGGAGGACGAGGAGGAGGAGGAGGAGGAGGGAGGGGGGAGGGAGGGGGGGAGCGGCGAGGGAGGGAGAGATGCGGGAGAGGTGGGGGAGGAGAAGGAGGAGGAGGAGGGGGGTGATGATGATTATGATGCTGATGCTGCTGCTGCAGATGATGATGGCGATGGTGATCATGATGCTGATGATGATTATGATGTTGATGCTGATGATGCTGATGATGATGACGACCAGGATGATGCTGCTGCTGCTGATGATGATTAAGAGGGTGATGAGCATGCTTATGCTGCTGATGATACTGATGCTGATGATGATGCTGATGATGCTAGTGATGCGGATGCTGATGCTGATGATGATGATGATGACGATGACGATGCTGATGCTGATGGTGATGATGATGATGATGATGATGATGATGATGATGATGATGATCATGATGATGATGATGATGATGATGCGGGTGATGATGATGCTGATGATGATGACGATGCTGATGCTGATGCTGATGCTGATGCTGATGCTGATCATGATGATGATGATGGTGATGATGATGATGATGATGATGCTGATGATGATGATGATGATGATGATGATGATGATGATGATGATGATGATGATGATGATGATGAGGAAGATGATGAGGAGGAGGAGGAGGAGGAGGAGGATCTAGCGGGATCTAGCGGGCCAACCTCCAGAGAATCGTAGAACGAGTACCGGCGGGGACGAGGGCGCACTACCTACTCCCAGGCCGTCCCTGGGCGCCAAGGCAACGCGGTGAAACGGGATTGCCGAGCTGAAACTGGCGGTGTCGCTCCAGCTCCCTGGCGAACATGCGGTGCACGTGCTCTCCCCATGCAATCTTGCGCACAATCTGCCGCCACACACATGTAACGGACGGCGCCTGTCTTGCCATTGCACGCTTCTCGCACGAACTGGCCCCAGTCTTTCTCGCACTGTCCACAGCGTCTGGCACTGCCTGCTGTCTCGCACGAGCTGACCCCGGTCCGCCTGCCTGCTCGCCTTGACAACACCCGCTGCCACTGCCTGCCTTCTCTGATCCGCAGGCCCTGCTCGCATGCCGGTCCTTGCTGCCACTGCCTGCCCTGTCGCACGAGCTGACCACAGCAGCCCTGCAGTGGACGGCGTGTGCCCCCGACGCGCAGAGGGGCCCCGACAACCGCGGCTGCCACTGCCCGCCGTCTCGCACGAGCCGACCTCAGCAGCAGTGCATCAGGAGGGGAAAAAACACACACAGACACAATGAATCCTCGATTCCCAGGAGAATACGCGACAATATGGGAAGTGGGGGGGAAGACAAAACCCCAGAAGATACAGGAAAATATGGGGAGTCCTGTGATTTGCGTGTATTTATTTGTGCGTCCCAGGGCCCCATTCAGTGTAGCTGATGTTGCGCTTCTCCTGCGCCGCCCGCCCTCGGGCAACGGACGGCCCTTGCTGCCACGGTCTGCGTCCGCACGTGGACAGTCCCTGCCTGCCGCTGCGCTCCGTGCGCAGAGCGCTGTGGCCGAAGGCGGCGGGCTCACCCTGGACCCGCCGCTGGCAGCCACTGCCCTTTCCGCCGCAGACGGGCCCGAACTGGCTCGAGGAGTTGGAGGAGGAGGCGGAGGAGGAGGCGGAGGAGGAGGAGGAGGAGGAGGACTGGACTGGACTGGACGATCTGCGCATGGTCAATCTCTGAAATCAAGAGTTCAAAGGGCGACCGCAGGGCGCTGCTGAGACGCTATGCTCATAGCGTTGCCAAACTTCCGAGGGACCCCCTCCCGAACGACTCGGGGACACCTCGATCGGAGAACGGCACAGGGTCGAGAAACCTGCACTCGTCTACGCATAGAAGGACAAAAATCGAGAGAGCTCTCTCACAGTGTGGAAGGACCAAGGGACGAGGGACGGACGAAAAGAAGCAGGGGAGCAGAGGGAAGAGGAGAGAAACAAGAAGCACATGCTTGAAACGTGAGCTAGGGAGGCGAGGACGGTCAGGTGCCTGCAACACCTCCTCGTCGTCCTCGGCCTCTGCCTGAACCCTTTCCTCGGCGTCCTTTGCTGGAAGAGCTGCGACCTGGATTCCACTCACCCCTGAATTGGATTCGATCACGCTCGAGAACAGACCCACGGGGGGGAGGGGGAGGAGGAGGAGGCACAGCGGGGACGGGGTGGGACGGATTGGGTCCGTTCCTAAAATCAGCATTCGCTCGAGGCTCATTCTCGATAAGATTCACGCTCGTTTGTGTCGGGCCCCTCGGAGCATTTTCTCCAGGGAATTCTGGACACGGCGCTCTGGATTCGACCTGGGGGGGGGACCCATCTTCGCAACGCTCCCCAGACCGAGGAGAAGGGTGGAAATCACAGCATTCATGGGAAGAAGCACTCCGTTGGGGCCGCTCACCCAACTGTTGATGAAGAAAGTGTGCCTGACCATTTTCGGGGACCCATCCTTCACGTAGGCCGTCTTGGCCCTCCAGTACTTGAAGAATTCCGCGACTACGACGATCGGCTGACCCTTGATCCACTCCAGGAGGCCCTTCAGGGCCTTGATGCTGTCTGCCAGCTGGGGGTTCGACTGCAACGACGTGTGGCTGGCGATCGTGGTCAGTACGGCCATCGCCACGCATACACTGGGGGGCCCCATCTTGTGGTCGGGATCGCCCTGCGCCGTCTCGACGTACTTGGTTGCAGCTGCCACGGCTGGAGGGTTGATCGTGCACTCGCTCGGAACCAGATGCGTCGTCAGGACCGATCCCTCCAGCGCTCTCGTCCTCTGGGCGACATTCAAGTAGCCCTTCATCACCGCCTGCGCCGTCTCGTCCTCGCTGTCGTCGTCGTCCAGCGCTACCATCGGAGTGTCCTTCCTGGAGTCTGCCGACTGAGATGCACCAGCGGCGGCATGCCTGGGCTGCTTTTGCCTCTTTCCGAGTCCGCCACCTGAGAAGAAGCTCATCTGAGAGGGATCTGCCAATCTCTTCTTGGCAGTCTCGAGCTCCGTCGGGTCCATCGGAAGGTTCCAAGCCGCCATGGTGCGTTGATGCGTCAACTGCAAAAGAGAGAACAGCTTCAGAAAGATCAACGTGTGAACGTATATGTATCTGAAGTGCTGTAAGTGTCGGGTGATCACGACCACAGGCTGGACATTCAAATGAGTACGGTTCCACGATAGGATGATGTGCAGGGCTACGATCACAATGACATATCTTATTCTGGAAAAGTCGACGTACATGTTGCCGTGAAATAGCATGTGTTGAATGAGTGGACATGCACCATGGACACTGGTTTGTTACTGTTAAAATTTGTGATAAAGCTCGCTCTCCATGACTCCCCTCACGACAAAATCTCATATGAGCGTACCACCCCTGTTGTTCAGTAAATTCGAGCCCACAGACGGTCCCGTTATCCAGAGTCTCTTGGCAAATCCACGTTTTTGGGGCCAGTGGGGGGACAGGGTCGGGAGCGGCATTGGCATCGGCACTTCCTCCTCCTTCTCCTCCAGCTGCAGCAGCGGCATTAGCAGTAGGAACCCGTCGACGCCCAAACTCATCTATCATGTTCTCCCAGTAGAGCCCCCGAAGCCGCGTGGCCTCTGCTGCTGATTTTTCTCGCGCAAGCAGGCCCTGCAACCGCTTCCTGCCTTCTCGCACGAGCTGGGCTCCGCTGCGCTGCAGCTGAAGATGTTGCTCCCGCGTCGCCCTCGGGCAGCGACAAACGGTGCTGCCACCGCCTGCCTTCTCGCACTCTCACATCGACACAGACGTTGCTGCCACTGCCCGCTCTCTCGCACGAAGCGCTCCCAGCATGGCCGCCGATGGCGCAGCTGTTCTTGGCTGGCCCCCGCTCGCCTGCTTTCACGGACGAGCCGCTCCCAGCACCGTGGCTGATGACGTCGCTGATCTTGGCTGGTCCCTGCTCGCCTGCTTTCGCGCCCGAGCCGCTCCGAGCACCGTAGCTGACGACACTGCTGATCTTGGCTGGCCCCTGCTCGTTTGCTGTCTCGCACGCACCATTCCCGACTGTTTCGCTGATGATGTCCTGCTCTTGCTTCGTCATACTTGCCTGTACTCCGGCATCGGCGCTGCGCATAGTGTCGCCAAGAGTTGGAGGGGCGGGAAGAGGGGAGAGGAAGACAGAACGGAGTGTGCCATGTCTTCTGGCGGGTGGGCACGTGCCTGATTTCAGCATTGCGGCTGATGACGCAGGACACTACTCTTCTTGATGTCGGCTCTGGCGAGCAGGGCCATTTCGAAGTTGGCTCGCGAAAGCCATGTGGGGGGCCCGCTCGGGCGTGGAATGGTTGAGGGGGAGGAGGAAGACGAGGAGCAGGATGATGAACAGGAGGAGACGAGGAAGGTTGAGGGGCGCAGAGGGTGGGCAAGGTGCAGCAGACCATCCTGGACACCACCACGCAGCGCCAGCTGCAGACCATCGAGGCCGGGCGTGCCAGACAGGGGAGACGGAGGGGGAGGAACAGGATGAGGAACATGTGCAGGAGGGGAGAAGGTATGGGATCGCGGGAGGCGAGATGATGAGTACGACGATGATGTTTGATGATGATGGTGATGATTATGTTTTTGATGATGATGATGCTGATGATGATGATGTTGTTGATGCTGATGATATTAATGATCATGATGATGCTGGTGACGATGATGCTGATGATGATGATGATGATGAGGATGATGATGATGATGATGATTGTGGTGGTGGTGGTGGTGGTGATGCTGATCATGGTCATGGTGATGGTGATGATGATGTATGATCATGGTGATGATGATAACGATAGTCATACCAATACTGATGATTATGACGATGATGATGATGATGATGATGATGATGATGATGATGATGATGATGATGATGATGATGCTGATGATGATGATGATGATGATGATTATGATGATGATGATGCTGCTGATGCTGCTGATGATGCTGATAATGATGATGGTGATGAGTGGGAGGCTGATAATGATGCTGACGGTGGTGGTTGAAGTGTATCTGATGATGATGGTGATGATGATGGCGAAGACGATGTTGATGATGCTGGTGGTGATGCTGCTGATGTCGACGATTATCGTTCTGATTTTGATGATGATTCACTTGATGATGTTTCTGATGATGGTGACGATTGTGATGCTGATGATGTTGATGATGGTGATGATGATGATGACGATGATGATGGTGATGCTGATGATGATTAAACCGAAGGCGACGGCGATGTCGATGATGATGGTGCCGATGATGCTGCTGCTGATGATGATGAGGATGACGATGATGATAATGATGAGGATGATGATACGGATGCTGATGATGCTGATGATGACGATGATGATGATGATGATGCTTATGCCAGTGATGATGATGATGATGATGGTTATGATGCTGTTGATGATGGTGATGCTGCTCATGATGAGGATTCTGTGGTTGTTCATGATGATGTTTTTGTTATTGGTGGTGTTGGTGATAATGGTGGTGGTGGTGTTTCGAGGTGACGATGGGGATGCTGATTATGATGAATGTTGTGATGACGATGATTCTGCTGCTGCTGCTGATGTGGATGACGCTGCTGCTGAAGATGTATGGTCGCCTTGGTGCCAAAAGACGATCAACGTCTACGCGGGCACAGGCGGGGAGCCGCCCGCAGTGGTGTGCAGCACCAGCATGGACCTCGCAATGCAGTACGGCGAGTGTTGCTGCGCTCCGCCGTGTGCCGCGGCACCTGCGAGTGAAACAGGAACGGCCTGTTCCAGGCACTACAGGCCTGGAGGGATCTACGCTTTTATTGTGACGATGATGATGTTCATGCTGCTGATGATGATGATGATGCTGATGAGGATGGTGATGGTGGTGGTGATGGTGGTGGTGGTGACGATGATAGGTGATGATGATGAGGGTGGTCATAGCAGCGATGACAATGGCGACGATGGTGATCATGATGGCCTTAGCGATGAAAAGGATGAAGAAGAGGCTGAATATGACCATGGTGACGACGACGGTGGTTGTGGTGGTGGTATTGGTCATGATGATGATGATGATGATGATGATGATGATGATGATGATGGTGGTGGTGGTGGTGATGATGATGATGATGGTGATACGTATGACTATGACTGCGAGTGTGGTTGCTTTGAGTGTGATGGTGCTGATACTGCTGCTGTTGCTGATTATGATGATACAGATACAGATACGGCTTATGTTAATGCTGATCCTCCCATCCCTCCTCCGTGCGCGTTCCCGCGCTCGCCATCCTCCTCCTCCTGCTTCTCCCCCCTTCGCGCGCGCGTGAGGGCAGAACGGGGGCGCACGGGATGAGGAGAGCCGAGGTAGCAGCAGCAGCAGTAGCAGCAGCAGCAGCAGCAGCAGCAGCAGCAACAGCAGCAACAAGAGCGGCAGCAGCAGCGGCAGCAGCAGCAGCAGCAGCAGCAGCAGCAGCAGCAGGAGGGGGGGCCAGGGGCGGCAGGGCACTGGGAGGGGAGCGCCAAGGTTGTGCACGCGGGCTTCGCGCTGGCGTGTCTTGAGGAAGAGCGGCGGCGTAGACACAAGCTTTTGGAGGTCCGCGCGGATATGCCTTGCATCTGCGGTGACCCACCCTTCCTCCAAGCGCCAGGGGCGGCGCTGGAGGCGCCGCCATGGGTGTCCAGAGCAGAGCCGCGCGGACCTCCCGAAGCTCATGTTTATGTCGCTCTTCTTTCCGGCTTTGGAGCACCGATGTTCTGAAATCTGCCTTCGCGATGACGTGCAGGAGGTGGCTGATGTCAGCCACGGTGCTCGTTTGGGTACATCTGTGGTGGTGGTGCGAGATGCGCTGGAACGTGTTCCATCACCTCTTGTGGTTTCCCTTGCTCCAGTCCGTGGCGAGACCGCGAGGAAAGAATCCGAGCGAGGCTGCACCAATTCCTGCGACGTGAGGTGAAGTCGATTTCGTTTGCTCTGCCCAGGTCTTTCCTCCTCCTCCTCCTCCTCCTCCTCCTCCTCCTCCTCTCCCCTCGGAGTTCCTGAGTCCCCCCCCTGAAAGATCAAGGCACTTAGACAGATAGGGAAGCTCGGGCAACACACCCCGAGGGGACTGTTCAGTCGCACCCCGATCGAGGATGGCCCCCGCCCCCGCGTTCCCGAGTGCGGCCCAATCTCTTTTTTTTTCGTCCAATCGAAGCTCACACGCAGACGGGGGCGCTGGATTGGGGTCGCCACGTCGCCCATTACCCCCCCCCGTCCCTCCCTCCCTTCCTCCTCCTTCTCCTCCTCCTCCTCCTCCTCCTCCTTCTCGCCCTCTCGCCCTCTCCTCCTCCTTCTCCTCCTCCTCCTCCTTCTCCTCCTCCTTCTTCTCCTCCTCCTTCTCCTCCTCCTCCCTCCTCTCCTCGTCCTCCTCCTCCCTCCTCTCCCCGTCCTCCTCCTTCTCGCCCTCTCTTCCTCCTCCTTCCCCTCCACCCCGCGCGCGCGTGGTCTCGGAAGCGACTGCCGATTGAGATCACGGCCGTGCACTGCGCGCCTCGGGCGGTCCGCGCGCGAGAGGGACTCCTGCTGCGCTCGGCGCGGCCCTCCGAGCGGGGTGGCCGCTTGGACGCCCGAGAGATCCAGACGCCAGGGCCAGGGCGTCTCCTCCTCCTCCTCCTCCCTCCTCCTCCTCCTCCTCCTCCCTCCTCCCTCCTCCTCCTCCCTCCTCCTCCTCCTCCTCCTCCTCCTCCTCCTCCTCCTCCTCCTCCTCCTCCTCCACAATTACTCAATATGAAAACTACTCTCGGCGAGGGGGAGACACGGCGGGGCCGGCGGCTCGGCCTCGGAGGTGGTGAAGCCGAAGATCATCCAGACCATCGTGCAGAGGAAGAAGCCCATCATCCAGGAGCGGCCTCGCGTGCCGACGCCGAGGGCACGCGCCGCGCGGCGGGAGGCGCGTGGAGGCCATCGGGGCAGCACCGTTGTCGAGAGGCCCCTTTGTCTTGGCGTCGGTCGGACGTGTGCTTTTTTCCTCCGGCGAGGACCATCGAGGAGCATCTCGGGGCTCAAGAGACGGGGGTCGATGCAAACGGGGGTCAGCCAGGGCACCAGATCCTGCAGGATCCTGCGAAGACCCCCTCTGGCTGACCCGGGTTCGCGAGCCGCTCGTGGCCGCGAGGCGGCCGCGCATATTGGCTCACCCGGGTTTGCGAAGACCTGCGTTGCAGTTTTTTTTCCTGCGCTGCAGTTGTTTGGTTTCCTGCTGACCCGGGTCTGGATTGACCCGGGTCAGAAGATCCCCGAGCATCCTTGATCATTTGGCGAAAAAACCACGCACGAAACCGAAAAAAACACAGGGAATGGACGTCCGAGCGATGGCCAGTTTTGGCCTCCTCCCATTGCCGATTTTGCTTTGATGGAGCCGATCCGACGCCGAGTTCACCCGACTCGATTTCGATTTCCTGGTGATCCGGTGCGGCTCGGTGCTTGCGCCGCGCAGCTGTGCCTCCTGGCGCGGCCGATCTGATTCGGCTGCGACTGCGCGCCGATGCACGCCGATCCGACACACACTCCGGTCCGATCCGGGCTCCCGGCTCGAGGCTGACTTATCCTGTCCTCCTCCATGCTCATGCTCCTGCTCCTTGCCTGGCTGCCGGAGGCGCCAGCCCGGTTTTTCCTTTGGCTTGTATATACTCGGAGGTGGACAGCCCTCCTACCTGTCGATTCAGTAATTGGCCGTTTTCGGTTCGCGAGAGGGCGTCGCGGCCGTCATTTTTGCGGGTCCAGGTCCGTCGGTTTCGGTCCCAGGCCGTTTTCACTGAGGGGGGGGCTACTAACGGGAGGTTTGTCCACCGCCGATGTATGGGCATGGCCTTCGGGTCGATCAGGAGTAACGTGGCATAGTACAGCTTGGCGAAGCTCTGTGGATGCTGCCCGGGCCGATCTGCTGGCGACGTCCGGGCCCAGTGTGGGCCTGCGGTGTCATGGCAGTGGTGGCGAATCTGTGTCTCCACTCGTCGTGCCTTTTGTTCCCCACGGGGTGCCCCGAAGTCTTGGGTCGGTCGAGGAGGAGGAGGAGGAGGAGGAGGAGGAGGAGGAGGAGGAGGATGAGGAGGGAGGAGGGAGGAGGGAGGAGGGAGGAGGGAGGAGGGAGGAGGGAGGAGGGAGAGGAGGAGGGAGGAGGGGAGGAGGGAGGAGGGAGAGGAGGAGGGAGGAGGAGGAGGAGGAGGAGGAGGAGGAGGAGGAGGAGGACCAGGAGGACCAGGTTCCACCGGAGGTATACCAACGATGTTGCAGTGCAGAGTTTCTCCTCAGATCACCTGCTCGTCAGTCCCCACAGTCTTTCTTGTTGTCACTGCGCCCCACGGGCCCGCAGTTCGGGCGGGAGCTCCGTTTCGAGGGAAGCCGTCCTCAGTTGTTCGAGCCATCAGGAGTGCTACAGGGCGAGGTTTTAGCGTTCAAGGGAATGCCCAGCGACAGCTCCGCTGCGAAAACGCACCGCCCTAGATCCATGTAAATGTCACATCGTTTATTTCTGGCAGTGAGGTCAAGCGGAGTCTCATTGGCGATTCCCATCCTGAACAGGAAACGCCCTTGCACATCGAAGACAGCTGGGTGATCTCTTTGAAGTCTTAGGCGAGAGCCCCATCTTGAAAGCGACCAGCCCTCCATCCGTGGCTCTGTCGGAAGCTTTCATGGCGAATGAGCGCGGCGCTTGGGCGAGAGCACGCTGTGGGCAACCACCGCGCCTCCAGCCGCGAAGAACGGTTAGAAGTGTTGGGCCGCGGCGCAGCAGCTTGAAGCAGCTTGTTCCAAGGAGAGGTCTCCAGCGAGGCGCCTCCGCCCCAGCCTGCGGACACGTCCGGCGGGGCGCCAGGGGGGGGGGGGTTGTTTCCCGCGGCGACGGGCGCCCGCCGGGCGAGCACCTGGAAACCGCACAGCCAGGTATTCTGTAGGGGGCCACATGCGAACCCGACCCCTACCCCCCCACGATTTCTGAGGGGGAGGGTGGGGTTCACTTCGTTCGGGAGCTCTCGAGCGAAGTGAACCCCACCCTCCCCCTCCGCAATCGTGGGGGGTAGGGGTAGGGTTCGCACGTGGCCACCGATCCTGGAGGTGGGCAGTGACTCGTCGGTGCAAGCGCCACGTTCTGGGAGCAGCGGAGCAGCCGCACGCCGCAGGTCGGCAGGCAGGCATCGGCTGCTGCGAGATGAGGCCGTCGTCAGACGCGCACAGGAGGACGCACGGCGCAGTCGCGCTCAAACCGCTAAGTGTGTGATTGCCGTGTGAAGCTCGTAGACAACACAGCCACGGCATCAGTTTTCCACCAGTCATCTGAACATCGTCATCGGCGAGTGTGAAACTCGAGACGACATGTCGAGCCTTCTTGTTCCTGGACCGTGGTGTCGCAACCTGCGTACAGTGGTGCATCCGATTGTCAGAGTTTTGAATACAAACACGCGGAACGGCCAAGTACATCTTCATGCGGACGCCAATAATCGCCTCTGAGCCCTACTCCATCGGGCATGTGTGTATGCATCGGAGGTACCGGGGTGAGATCGCAGTGAAACAGAGAGCCCCCCATTGGGAAATCGGTTTCGCTCTCGTGTCCGCGTCGCGCGTGCGGGCGAGGCGAAGCTGCGTGGGCGGACGAGAGGAGGGAACGAACCCTCTTTTGCTTAAGCGCCGCCGAGCCAAACGACCGCCCCTCCCCCCCGGGCTGGCGGGAGGTGGCCGGGGTTGTCCCGCCGTGGTGTCCCGATGGTGTCCTGTGGTGTCCCGTGGCATCCCCTGGTGTCCCGTGGTGTCCCGCGATGGCCCGTGGTGTCCCGTGGCGCAGTGTCCTGTGGTGTCCCGTGGTGTCATGTGAGGTCGATAGTGAGATCGATTGTGAGATCGACAGCGAGACCGACAGTGAGATCGACAGTGAGAACGGTAGTGATATTGATTGTGAGATCGATAGTGGGACTCATAGGGAGATCAAGCGCGAGATCCACTGCGAGATGGATTGTCAGAGCGGTAGCGGTGTTGATCGCGATATAGCTACTGAGATCGATAGTGAGATCGAGCGAGTCGAATCGATAGTGGTATTTATAGTGAGATCGATAATAATATCGATCGTGTTATCGATGATGCTATCCATAGTGAGATCGACAGCGAGATTGATAGTGAGATCGGTAATGATGTCGATCGTGAGATCGATCGTGATATCGATTGTGCGATCGATAGTGAGATCGATAGTGATATCGTTCGGGAGAGCGATGGAGAGATCGAGTGTGATATCGAGTGTGAGATCTATAGTGAGATCGATTTTGAGATCGATAGTGGGAGGGATCGTGAGATCGGTCGTGGGATCGATTGAGTGGTATCGATACTGAGATCGATAATGACGTCGATCGTGCGGTCGATTGTGAGATCGATTGTGATAGATCGTGATATGAGTAGTGATATCGGTAGTACGATCGTTAGTGATATCGATTGAGTGATATTGATGTTCATATCGATAGTGAGATCGACAGTGGGATCGGGGGTGAGATCGATGGTGAAATCGATAGTGAGATCGATCGTACGATCCTTCTTAGTTTCGATCGACTGGGACCGATTGTGATATCAATAGTGAGATCCATAGTGATACCGACAATGAGATCGATTGAATAAGACGCTTGTTCCTCCCCACCCCGAATATCCTTATCACCCGAAGGGTGGTCGTATAGGTATAGTTATATGATCCACGCTGGCATTTACATACCGCTCTGTCAGTCGCTCTCTCTCTCTCTCTTTCTCTCTCTCTCTCTTTCTCTCTATCTCTATCTCGTCCCTCCATCCCTCTCCCTCTCCCTCTCGTTCTCCTCTCCACTCCCCTCCTCTCCATCTTCCTCTCTTCTCCTCTCCTCGCCTCGCCTCTCCTCGCCTCGCCACGCCTCGCCTCTCCTATTCTCGCCGTTCCTTTCCTCTCCTCTCTCCTCTCCTCTCCTCTCCTCCCCTCTCCTCCCCTCCCCTCGGTGCTCCTGCACGTCCAACTGCGCGCCAGCCGTCTCCTTTTCCCGAGGAGCACGTCAAGCAGGTGCCCAAGATCATGCGCGAGCTGGTGCCCGTGCAGAAGATCGTCCAGAGGGAGGTCGACGTGCCGCAGGCCTGGGGTCCCCCCTCCGCACCACGGAATTCTCTCATCGGGAGGCGGAGGAGGAGGAGGAGGAGGAGGAGGAGGAGGAGGAGGAGGACAGGCTTTCTGAGGGGATGCGGCTCTGGGCTCGAGGGTCTTGTGCAAAGAGTTCTGGGCATGGGCGCGGGCATCTCTGTCTGCGCCCGGCGATTGGTCAGTCTGGAGAAGGAGCAGGAGGCGGGAGGAGGATGAGAGAAGGAGGGATGCGGGGATTAGCAGGATGAGGAGAAGGAGGAGGAGGAGGAGGAGGAGGAGGAGGAGGCTGATGCGTCTGGGCGCCTGTGCTTATCTCTCCGTCCCAAACTTGCCCTCTCTCTCTCTCTTTCCCTTCCCTCTTTTCTCTCATGTTCTCTGTCCCCTCCTTGATGTCTCTCTCTCTCTCTCTGCCCCTCTCTCTCTTTTTCCCCCCCCCCTCTCTCTCCGTCTGTGTGTAGGGGGGGGGAGAGGAAAAATGGGACCACGAAGAGGAGGAGGAAGAGGAGGAGGAGGAGGAGTGATGACGCAGGGAGGGAGGGAGGATGATAATGAGGAGTGAGGATGATGATGGCACGATGAGGAGAATGAGAAGGGGGAGGCAACACGAGGCAAGAGGGAGGAGGAGGAGGAATAATGATGATGGAGGACGAGGGGTCACGCGGACGAGAACCAGCATGAGGGAGCATGAGGGTCGAGAAGGGGGGAGGGCTGCGCAGCATCCCCCCCTCTCCGCTCTGCCTTTTCTGCATCTCCGCTTCTGTCCCTGCCCCCTCCTCCGCCCGTCTGCCGGTCCGTCCGTCGGCCATGCTCGACGATGTCGCTTGCTGCGGTGGTGAGGACTCAGTCCAGGACTCGAGGATCACAGTGGCTACGCGACGCCAGGCAGAGAGAGAGAGAGGGACATCTGGAAGGATTCCAGAGCATGGTGGTTTGCACAAGCCAAGCCGGTACTCGACAGAACGCACATCGACGATTGGTCTGCACACGTTTGCTCTTCTCGGGCGCCCCGAGACTGGCCACCACGCACGCGTCGCGCCAAAGCCGCGCTCAAATCAAAAGCCTGTCGGTCGGTCTATTTTTGTTTAGACGGTCTCTCTCTCTCTCTCTTCTCTTTTATTTGTCTCTGTTTTTCTGTCTCTGTCTATGTCTCTCTTTCTCTTTTTCACATTCCTCTCTCTCTCTCCGATCTCCCTGCGCTCCATCTCTCTCTATCTCTTTGCTCTGCCAGTTTCTGACTATAATCTTAACCCCCTTCTCATCTTTGCCCTCTCTCTGCTATTAGCTCCCCCCAGCTCCTTGCACCCTTCCACTGCTTCTCCACTGCTCCTGTGCTACCGACTCGGGCGTGGCTGAGCAGACCAGGCGCAACAGGGAATGGACGGAGGGCGAGGGAAGGCGGGCGAGGAACAGCCAGGCTGGGAGTCTGTTTCAGGCTTGGGCCACAAGGCGCAGTCTGCCCCCCCCCTCTTTGCAACACAACGTTACCGGTGCGCACCTCGCGGCACCGCCGTGACGCACGGGGGGACCTCAGTCAGGAGGGGAAAAAACACACAGACACAATTAATCGTCGATTCCTTAGAAAATATAGGAAAACATGGAAGTGGGGGGAAGACAAAAACCCAGAAAATATGGGAAAATGTGGGGAATCCTTTTATTTGTGTGTATTTATTTGTGTTTCCTGGGGCCCCTCCACTCAGCATCGTGTGCGGCCGCAGTCTGGCGATTCGGTGACCAGCGCACCGCGCCCCCTGCGCAGAGGCATCCATTTGCGGCTGCTGCTCGCGCGGCTCCGCGCCGACGGCGTCCCCTCGCTCCCCTGCCGCCGCCGGCTCCCGCGGCGACGGGGGCGTGAAGACCGAGCGCAGCAGCTCGACGCCGACCTCGCCAGAGGTCCAACGTGTTGAAAAATTAGGGCGGAGGTTTTTCGCAGATTTCGGCCCCTAGGGGGCCCTCGCCGGGCCTCTGGACCGTCCAAAAACGACTCGGGATGAAGAACCGGTCCTGGGGAATGGGTCGAGACTTCCGGGGATCGCGCATTGAACAAAATCACGGGTGCGAAGACCGAGCGCAGCAGCTCGACGCCGACCTCTGCGGAGAGGTGCAGCTTGTGGCTGGTGGCGGCCTCCTCCGGCGCGGCCCGGGAGCTCGCGCGCGCTCGGCACGAGCCTCAAGGGGGGGGCTCGGCGTGCGGACCGCTCAGCGCAGGCGCCGCCCGCCGCCCTCGTGGCCCGCCGCGCCGGCTCGCGACCTCCTCCTCCTCCTCCTCCTCCTCCTCCTCCTCCTCCTCCTCCTCCTCCTCCTCCTCCTCCTCCTCTCCTCCTCCTCCTCCTCCTCCCTCCTCCTCCTCCTCCTCCTCCTCGTGCCCATCGCCTATGTCCTCCGTCCCGTTCCACCCCTCTCCGTGCGCGGGAGGGGCGCGCCCCGCACGGAGGGGGCCAGGGAGACCCCGGCCGGCCCGCCGTGGCAGCCCACGGCCGGCGCGCCGACGAGGGCGCGGCGCGCCTCGCCCTCGGCGGCGCCGCGCGCGCGAGGCGCGCGGGCGGCAGCTGCGGAGCGGTGGGCTGCGTTCCTCGGCCTCCGCGAGGGAGCGCCCGCGGCCGCCACCGGGGGGGGGGCGCCGCGCCCGCCCTCGGGGCATCGGCCGCAGGCCTCCTCCTCCTCCTCCTTCTCCTCTTCCTCCTCTCTCTCTCTCTCTCTCTTCCTCTTCCTCTTCCTCTTCCTCTTCCTCATCCTCCTCATCATCCTCCTCCTCGTCCTCCTCCTCGGCGAGGACGAGGGCGACGAGCGCCCCAGCTCCCCCCCGCGCGCCGGGCAGCTGCAGCTGCTGCGGGGGCTCCTGCGCCACCTCGAGGAGCAGGGCCGGCACCAGGCGGCTGGCGACGAGGCGGCACCTGCGGCAGCTCGACGACCTCGAGCACCCTGGCTGCGACCACCCACACACGTTGATCTGGAACCTGTCGAAGCACACGGGCCTGGTGAGGGGTTCCGCTGACTTCGTCGAGGCTCTCCGCCTCCGCGCCGGCGCAGCAGGACTTTTCGATCCCGTCCCCTGCGCCCTCTGCGGTGCTGGCGCTCCTCCTGGACCAGACTGGGTCCCACGCGCTCTGCTGCAGCCGCGCGGAGTCCACATGGGGGCACCACGCAGTGGCGCGACGGGTGCACGACGCCGCAGGAGTTTGCGACCTTGGCGCCGAGCATGAGGCCTCAGGCCAGGTGCCAGGCACGCGGCTCCGACTGGTTGACGTCCTCACCGGCGCCCTAGGTAATGGCCTCCTGGCCTTCGACGTCGGCGTGGCCTCGCCCGGCGCTGTGGCCGCAGGCCCAGTCTGTGCGGCCACCTTGCACCGACGTGAATTCGACGAGTATTCCGCGCGCGCAGACGCCTTGGCGCAGCAAAGCATCGCGTACCAACCGCTGGTGCGTTCACGTTCCACGGCCAGCCTCGCCCCCGAACGACAGCTATCGCCCGCAGCCCCGCGACCAAGCAATCGCGGAGGCGTGGCTCTATATTGGCGCCTCTTTCCGCCATCTTTGGCGCCGGGCCGCCAGGCAGGTCCTGGCCTGCTGGCCGGACCATGACCCAACGCCACTTGGGCGCTCTTGCGGCCGGCCGCCCCCGCAGCTTCCCCGCCCCCAGTTTTCGCCCCCCCGCGCGCGCGCCTCACTTGCGAGGCCCGGTGGCTCACGCCCCGCGTCCGTGCTCCCCCGCTTGCTGTCTGCCTGCTTGCCTGCTTTCCTGCCTCTCTCCCTCCCTTTTCCTCCCTCCTCCCCCCCCTCCTCCTCCTCCTCCTCCTCTTCCTCCTCCTCCTCTTTTTTCTCTTCCTCTTCATCCCCCTTTCCTCTTTTCCTCCCTCCGGCGGGGTGCCGTCTTTTCTTGCCGCGGACCTGGCTGCGGGCTGAGTCCAGGACAGCGTCATGGCCGTAGTGCTCAATATTTTGGGCCGTAATTCGGGACATGTTCGTTGCGTGTTGCCGTTCTGGGAAGGTGCCTCATTGCGCCTCGCAGTGGTCTCATCGCTCAACCACCGCCCCGTCGCAGAGCCTTTCTGCGCCGCGTCCTCCTCCTCTTCCTCCTCCTCCTCCTCTTCCTCCTCCTCCTCCTCCTCCTCCTCCTCTTCGTCCCGCATTGCAGCGCCGTCGCCTTGCACGCGCCTTTCCGCGAGGGCGGCCTGGCGCGGGCATCAGATGTTAGTTTTCTCTTCGGCGAGGTTCAGGGGCGGCGGGTCGCAGGCCAGAGGGTTTTGAAGCGGTTTCTTTACAGGCCGACCATGCAACTTGCATGGGTTTGGGATTTTTCAGTGAGGGCCCATTGCGAGACACGTCTTAGGCGGGGACAGAAATGGCGCTTGCAGGCTGTTTTTTTGTGTTCGCGGACATATCGTCGTGTTCACAGGCATGGTGTGGCGCTCGCACGATTTGGGCCTCGTGGGAATTGTGGGGTTTGTCGGCATTATGTGGTGATCGCCACCAAACTGCGGTGCTCGCAGGCCTGGTGCGACGTTCAGAGTGTTGTGTTCACAGTCATACGTAGCGCTCGCAAACTGTCATAGTGTAGTGTGTTCGCAGGCATCTGTCACTGGCTAGATATGGTGCGTGCTGGTGGTGCTCGCAGGCTAGTGCGGTAGTGACAGGGTATGGCTTCTCTTACCACTTAGCATGCAGTGTAGGTTACTCAGGGGAAGCTCACAAGTAGCTACATATGCTCAGCACATGTTTGTCCTCGTAGTCTGTTGCATTGCGGGTTCCGTTATGATGTCGTGTGCTTTTGTGGCGTTATTGTGTCGTTCGCATGTTATTTTGGTGATCGCAGGTTGTGGCGTTTGCAATCTACTGTGGGACTCGCAGTGTTTGGCATACTGATTTGGATGATGTGGTATTGGTTCCAATTCGCTGTGGGCCTGGCAGGGTATTGTTTTTCTTACCGTCTTGGTCTTCGTAAGCGCACCAGGGTGTTCATAGGAACATTGTCGCGCCCGCAGGCGTAATCTTGCATTTGCAAGCACATCGTGGTACTAGCCTGGTCTTGTATCTCGTGGTGCATGTTCTGGTGTTTGCAGGCTTTGTGGTTGTCCATAGCCGGCCTCCCCTCGCCATGTGGTTGTCACAAGGGCAGGCGCTTACAGACATATCGTGGCGCTCGCATGCGTACCGTGGCGGTTTCAGGCTATTGTGGTACTGGCGTGGTCGGACATAGCGTTCTGCGTGTTTGTGAAGTCCTGGTGGCTCCCGCAGGTCACTCATGTGTTCGCAGGTTGTGGTCTTCGCGTGCAAAGTGTGATATTGGCAAAATTTGCAGGCCTGTATATTGACACCAACACCGATATCGGCGTTGTGCATCCACCGAGGGACCAAGATCCCGATCTCGGCGATGGCGGTAATGTTCTGGCTTCCAAGGCCACCAACATAATACCACCAACGCCGAACTCTAGGATCATTTTCCCCCTGTGGCGGAACACCCTCTGTGTTGGTGTTGGTGCCCATTCCTACAGTAGGGGTCTTGAGGAAGGAACCCTTTTCGTTGTGGAGGGGCTCCGTGTTCCTTGATTGTTTCACAGCTTGCCTCAGGTTTTCCAAAGGTTTTCGATGGGGAATCGAAGTTTAACTTATGGGAAAGGAGGGGCCTCGTTCCTTATTTAGGGTTCCTTAGGTCAACGCCCCGACTGTAGGCCTCCAAAAAATCATGACCCCAGGTCGCGGGTTCACGGCCCCCCCCCCAAAAAAAATGGGATGGGCCCCAGGGCCCCACACCCCCCCTCCTTCCCGTTGGGATTCGGGGTGGGGGGGACGACGACGACGACGACGACGACGACGACGACGACGACGACGACGACGACGACGACGACGACGACGACGACGACGACGACGACGACGCCGACGACGACGACGACGACGACGACGACGACGCACACGTCGACGCCGACGCCGACGCCGACGCCGAGGACGACCACGACGCCGACGCAAGACGACAACGACGACCACCACAGAAGACGACCACGACGACGAGGAGCCTCCCTACGCCCACAGCCGGGGGGGGAGAGCACCGGCACGCTGCGCCGCGCCACTCCCGCGGGGCCACGGCCACGGGGAGGGGGAGTTCGATCCCGTTCGGGAGGCCTGCGCGAGGCGTACCGATCCAGTGGGTCGGGAGCGGAAAAAAGGGGGGTGATGACTGGGGGGGGGGATATCATGGCGGGGGCCATGATAATTCTCCAGATTTCATGGCGCCCCTTCTTATTTCATTACGTCCCCGCCCCCCCCGCTGGGCCGCGCACATGCCGCCGGTCATGATTTGCACCCCCCCCTCTTGGACACCCTCCTCTTTGCCGCTCCCGAGTGGAGGGGGGGCTCGATCCCACATGCACTGCGGGGGGGCAAGCCTGGATCATGTCTAGCGGCGGTCGTGCGTAGGCTGGTGTGGACCCAGCCGGGTCTGGTTCTCCTCGCCGTCCGGTGGTCACAAAACACACCGTGGTGCTCACGGGAACGTGGTGTTGCTCGCAGGTTGTTGACGTGCTCACAAGCACTAAGTCCGGCATGCCCCTCTACAGGAGGGGTGTCGATTTGTCGCGTTTTTTTGATTAGTTTTATTGTTGTTGACATTAATCAAAATAAAAAAAATCCGCCTGTAGGGCGACATGCCCGACTTAACACAAGGAAATGCTTGCAGGCAAACTGTGGCGATCTGCAGACTGTTGTGGTGCGTGTTCGCATGTTGTGGCACCTGCACGCAGTTGTGGTGGTTTTTGGGCCTGGCATGCTGTTGCGAATACCGTGGCTCTCGCAGGCTGTTGTGGTATTGGAAGGGTCAGATTTCTTTCGGCGTGCGGTAACAAGCACGCTTTGGCTCGCAGGCGTACAGTGGTGTTCGCAGGCATGCTTTGGTCGTCGCGTGCGTATTGCGGCGCTCACAGGCGTTGCAACCGATCCTTGCCGCAAGGCGGAGGTGCGCGCGAGCGCTGCGGTGGGACCTGGGGTACACTGCGTGGGGGACGCTTCATTATCGTGTTCCTCCCCCATCCCCTTCCTTAACACCCGTTATGGCCACTGATCATATGCTCTCATTCTTGCTTTCACTATGGTTAAGCAGAGATGCCTCAACGGTTCAGGAGATGTCTGATAGGTCCAGCTTTCGCCGTGGCTCAGCAGAGATGCCTCCAGGGTTCGGGAGATGTCTGACAGGTCCAGTTCGTCGACGAAGTTGTGGACGTCCCCGTTGTGAAGAACCGGCATGTGCCGACAATCATCAAGCAGGACGCCCCTGCATAGTGGATTGGTGGAGAGAGAGAGAGAGAGAGAAAAATAGAGATGGAGAGAAGGGATGATGAAGCAGTGCGTATTTGGTGGCTGAATTGTGGGCAGGGCGCAATGGGAATACATGTGGGAACATTGCGGGTACTCAGGATGTGAGCATTACGTGCGCCTTTGGGGGCCCGCTTCTGGCGCCTCCTGGAGGCCTCTTGAGGGCGTGGTCTCTTGGGGGCCTCTCGCGGCAGCCTCGGAGCGGAGGGCTCCTGGGGTCCATTTCGCGCCGCACCCTCTGGGGCCCCTCTTTGGCCCGTCTTGGGTGTTGGTGGTCTCTTGGGCTCCTTCTGTTGCCGTCGGTCGTGGACGGTCTTGATTCGAAGGAGAAAAGGCGCCATAAACATACACTTTACGCGCTCCGCGCGGATTTCCGGCGCCGCCAGGGGGCCCGGCTCAGATCCAAGAATTCCGCGCGGAGCGCCAGAAGTGTGAAGGTTTTGGCTGTTTTTTCGTCTTCTACTCGAAAGGAGCTTGGGGGCCTCAGAGGCCCCCAAGCTCTCCGTAACCGCATGGCCTCTCGCGGTACTGCAGGCGAGGCTCGCTTGTGGCCGGACCAGATGTCGTGAAGCGCGGTTCGCGCTCCCCTGCCATTCGCTGTGCCGTTCTCGCTCGATCCTTGGCTGCTCATATGCCGGCAGGGGCCACAGGGCCGAAGGCCACCAGGGTTAAGTCGGGCGTGTCCCCCCACAGGGGGAGCTTCGACGAGAAATAAGAAACACCCACAAAAAAAGTCAAACAATAGTCCAAAAACAGTCTGGGGACTTTTTTATGTTTTTTTTTTGTTTGTTTGTATTTTTTTGTATTTTTTGACCCTTTTGGAGTGTCTTGGGGTATCTTTAATTTTTCATCGAAGATCCCCCTGTACGGGGGACAGGCCCGACTCAACATTAAGTGCCCCCTCCGCCTCCCGGGCGTCTTCCTGGAGCTTCCCCGGGCCCCCTGGAGCATCCAGACGAGGCACAAATCGCCCCAGTACACTCGGAAAGCGTGCATTTCTAGCACATTCGCTGTTTCCATGTGCGCCTCGTCCGAGTCGGCCCCAGGGGCCCCCAGGAGAGCCCCAAAACGGCCCAGCATGTCCCCCAGAGGGCCTCAAGACGGCCCAGGAGAGCCCCTAGACGGCCCCAGAGGGTCCCCGGACGGCCCGAGAGGGTCCCAGGACCGCCCAAGACGGCCCCAAGAGGGACCCCGGGGGGGGGGGAACTCGAGCCTGCTTTCCGAGGCCTCCGCCCCAAGAGGACTCCGAGGACCGCCAGCAGGCCCCCAAGGACCCCCCCAGGGGATCCAGGCCGAAGAGGCCCCCCAGAGGATCCAGAGGCTTCCTGTCTCCAAGAGGCTCCCCAGATGTTCCCCCAGATACCCGCACAGGCATCCCAGAGGTCTCACACCAACAACCCAGGCACGGCTCTGACCTCACATTTCGAGGCCTCGAGCTCGAGGGGACCCAGGAGACCGCCCGCTGGACCCCCAGAACCCTTGCAGGAGGACCATGAAGGCCCCCAATCGACCCAAGAGAGGCCCCGAGATGCCCCCGAACGGCCCCCCAAGGGGCTTCAAAACCGCCTCCAGGGAAGATCCCAACACGCATCCAGGCGGCCCCTGACCAACATCACAGGCACGGCGGCAGGATGGTCCGAAGGCCACCGGGAGGTGCACGCGTGGACGAGGGGCACCGTGGCCCCCCCCTCTCTGTCCCCCTTCTTGCCTTTCGTCCTCAGAGGTTCCGCTTCTCCTTCTGTGGGAAAAACACACAGTCTGTGGGACAAACGCACAGTCTGTGGGAAAAAACACAGTGTTGTTTTCCCTCAGTTTTTTTTTTTGTTTTTTTTTTTTTTTTTTTTTTTTTCCCCCCCCCCCCCCTCCCAACAGTGTTTTTTTTCCCACAGTGTGTTTTTTTTCCCCACGGTGTTTTTTTTTCCCACAGACTGCTCTTGTCCCTCCTTGCCGCTCTGCCCTTCGTCTTCGTCCCCGTCATGCTCCTGGACTCTCACCCTCGTTCTCGACCTCCGAACCGCCCCCCTCGTCCTCTCCGTCGCCCTCCCGGAGACCTCCGTGCGCTGCGTATTCCCGCAGAGCTGTCGGACAGAAGTCCTGTCTGCAGCCGTCGCCCAACCCTCGACATCTCCCTACGGGCTGGGGAGGAGGAGGAGGAGGGTGAGGGGGAGGAGGAGGAGGAGGAGGAGGAGGAGGAGGAGGAGGAGGAGGAGGAGGAGGGCCTCCCGCGCGTGGGATGGTTCTATTTTTGAATCATGGGAACTCGCGCTTCGTACAATCCTGCATTCGTTTCTGCGCGCGTGGAGGGTCGCAGACGCCAGATTGCACATCGCATCGTTGACCGGCCACACTGTGAGCCCGGACTAGTCCTCTGCGGCCGTCTTGCACGCTTTATTAGGATCGAAAAGGCGATGACGTTCAACTTATGGAACAGTTGCTTCTTGGACGATTTGGACCTCCCGAGCCGGCCCCCATGGCTCCCTGAATGTCCAGGGGGCCCTCCATCAGCCCCAAGACGGGCCACGGGAGGCCACTTCGGCGCATGTTGGAGGCTGGGCTTCTGAACCGTGCTCTTGTGTTCAGAAAAGGCCACGCAGGAATTCTTGGGTGAGCTCCCTCCACTTCCTCCCTCCTCACTCTTCTTATCGCCCTTCCCCTTCCCCCATTGATCCTCACCCAATCCTTCCCTGCTCCATCCTTCCTCTCCTTCTCCCTCCTCCTCCTTTCATTCCTTTCTTCATTCCTTCCTTCTCGCCGTCCTCCTCCTCCTCCCTCCTTGTCCTCCTCGTCCTCCTCGTCATTCTCGTCCTCCTTGGGGCCTTCTTGGCGGCCCCCTCGGAGGAGAAGACCGTGGAGGTGCCCCAGATCGAATACGTCGACCACCACGTGCACGTCCCAGTGCAGAAGCACCGCCACGTGCCCATGGTCAGCGTCGTGCAGAAGTACGTGGATGTGCCGCAGGCTGACCGTCTGGAGGAGGGATGAGGGAGGGGTGGGGGTGGGGAGGTTGGAGAACGAGGAAGAGGACCGGGCAGAGGGGGGAGGGGGAGGGAGGAGGACGAGGAAGAGGAGGTGGAGGTGATTATTTCCAGATTGCCAGCGAGTTGGGCTGGAGAGCATTGGGAACTTTGTTGTCGTATAATGCCAACAAGAGCTATTAGGAAGTTTGGCATGGGGGCCTTCGGGCTGCCTCTTGGAGGCCTTTGGGAGCCACTTGGGGCCTCTTGGGTGCTTCTGTTGGGCTCTTGCTCCTTGGGGTTTGTTGATGGTCTTGGGGGTATTCCGCTGCGGAAGGACTCCGAAGGCTCTTTCGATTTCCCCCCAACGGGGCCTTTTCGGAGGCCTCTTGGGCCGTCTTGTGCTCCTGTGCCGTCTCGAGGCCGTCGTGGGCCGTCTTGTGACCCCTCTTGGGGGTCTCTTGGGGCGATCTTGGGCGTCTCTAGGGCCGTCTTGGAGCTTTAGAAGTCCGAGAAGAGAAGAAGGCGAAGACACAAACACACACACACACACACACACTCTCACAGCCGGGAGAACATCCCTCTTGGGTTTGGGGTCCTCTTGGGGGTTCGTTTTGGACCCTCTTGAGGCGAGTCGGGCGGGGGCCTCTTCGACATTCACACACATACAGCACCACACCACACCACACCACACCACACCACACCACACCACACCACACCACACCACACCGCACCGCACGCACGCACGCACGCACGCGCGCACGCATGCACGCACGCACGCACGCACGCACGCACGCACGCACGTACACACAGAGACACACAGACACACAGAGACACACAGACACACACACAGACACACACACAGACACACACACACACACACCGACACACACAGACACAGACACACAGACACACAGACACACAGACACACAGACACTCAGACGCACAGACACACACAGACACATAGTCACACAGACACACAGACACACAGTCACACAGACACACAGACACACAGGCACACACAACACACACAACACACACACACACACCACACACACACACATGCACGCACGCACGCACGCACGCATGCGCACGCACGCACGCACGCACGCACGCACGCACGCACGCCACACACACACACACGACACAGACACGCACGCACGCACGCACGCACGCACGCACGCACGCACGCACACACACACACACACACGCACACACACACACACTCACACACTACACACAACACACACACAACACACACAACACACAACACACAACACACACAACACACAAGCACACACGCAACACACACACACGCACACACACACACGCACGCACACACACAGACACACACACATACACACACAGACACAGGCACACACACACACACACGCACACACACACACACACCACACACACCACACACACACACACTCACAGCCCTGAGAACATCCCTCTTGGGCTTGGGGCCCTCTTGGGGTCCGCTCCGGACCTTCTTGGGGCAAGTCTGGGGCCTCTTCGGCCATCCTGAGGCCGTCTCGGGGCGCTCCTGGGCCGTCTCGGGGCCCTCTTTGGCCGTCCTGCGGCACTCTTTGGGGTCCCCTTGGCCCACCTTAGGGCTCTCCGGCCTCTGGGAAAATCACGCGAGAAGTTTCTGAAGTCACCTGGAAAGCCTCGTGGGCTGTGGGTGGGGGCCTCCTCTAGAGAATGCTACCTCTAGAGAATGCTAAAGAGCATGCGGCGCAGATAACTCGAAGGACCTGGGCACACTCCACTCAGTGCCCACGGCAAGGTGGCGGATGTGCGTGGATACACTCCAGATCTCATAGTTAAAGGGGGGTGGTCTGATTTCTTCGGTGTCTGACTTGAGTTGTCTTGGAGGGTTCGGGGTGTCTGGGCAGAAGGCCGCCCTCACATGGCTGGTCTGGGGGGGGGTCCAAACTTGCTCGTCTGGGAGGGGCGAACCCCCCCAAGTTGGACGTCCAGAGTAAAGCGGGGCCAGAAGGGAAGGAGAGAGAGTCTAGGCCTCCTAGATGGGGTCGGAGTAGATGGGGTCGGAGGATCGCGCCGCATCGCCGATGCATGAGCGATGCGGCTCGATGTGGAGCCCGTGTTTCCCCACGCCGACGTCGCCGATGCATCGTCGACGTCGCCGATGCATCGCCGATGCATCGCCGATACATCGGCGATACATCAGCGATGCATTGGCGATGCGGTGCGATCCTCCGACCCCATCTGCTCGGACCCCTTCTAGGAGGCCTCTAGAGAGAGAGAGAGAGAGAGGAGAGAGAGAGAGAGAGAGGAATAGAGAGGGAGAGAGAGAGAGAGGGAGAAAGAGAGAGTGAGAGAGAGGGAGAAAGAGAGAGGGAGAGAGGGAGAAAGAGAGAGAGAGAGGGAGAGGGCGAGAGCCACAGGGACAGGCAGAGGCAGGGACGGAGCCCGGCGGCGGACGCCGAGCGGAGCTCGAGGCGCCGGCCACGAGCCGGGGCGCGCGGCGGCGGCGGCGGGGGGCGGCGACGGCCGGCCCGACCCGGCGGGGGGCAGCGGCAGACGACGACCTCCTCCTCCTCCTCCTCTTCCTCCTCCTCTCCCTCCTCCTCCTCCTCTTCCCCCTCCCCTCCCCCTGCCTCCTCCTCCTCCTCCTCCTCCTCCTCCTCCTCCTCCTCCTCCTCCTCCTCCTCCTCCTCCTCCGCCCGGCAGTAAAACGACGCGAAGATCGGGACAAAATCGGATCGGGATAGCTCGAGATCTCTGAGAGTCGGCGGGTTTGGAGGATGTATCGGGCGCCGCGGCCGCTCCAGAGCGTTTCGGAACGCTCTGAGAGCGCTCCGGAGCGCTCTGAGAGCGCTCTGGAGCGCTCTGGAGCGGTTTATCCCGATGCTAGCCCTGTTTTGCAGCGGCAGACGAGCCCGGCAGGTGGAGATCATCGAGGAGGTCGTCGAGGTGCCGGTCCAGAGGCAGGTGCAGGTTCGTGGGAGTGCCAAGCGTGCCGCGTGCCCCAGAGCAGGCGTGCCCTTCAGTCGGGCCTGTCCCCCTACAGGGGGGTTTTCGACGAAACATAAGACATGCCCCCAAAATGCCCCCAAAAGGTCAAACGATACTCAGAAAGTAGTCCCCAGACTATTTTTGGACTCTTCTTGGATTATTTGTGGGGTATTTTTTCTTTTTCGTCGAAAATCCCCCTGTAGGGGGACACGCCCGACTTAAGCGTACCCCGGAGAGGGGGCCGCAGTGCCCACCTCGGGATGCTCGAAGGCTCGGCTTGGCGCACGCCGTCGCGGGGGGCCGCGGCCGCCGCGGCGCCTCAGGGGGGGTGCGTTGTCTCGGGGTGCGGTTGGGCCCTCCAAACAGCCTGGCGACCTCTTTCAGGAGGAGAGAAAACACACAGACACAATGAATCGTCGATTTCGAGGAAAATATGGGAAGTGGGGGGGAAGACGGAAACCCAAGCAATATGGGAAATTATGGGGAATGTTTTTGTTTGTGTGTATTTATTTGTGTGTCCTGGGGCCCCTTCACTCTTGTGATGCCTGGCAACCTCTTGAGCCTGGCGACCTGTTGAGCCCGCCCATCCCCTTTTTTTGGTTCGCACAGCGCCGAGGCCGAGTCGGGTGGAGTGCTGCGGTCGCGCTCCTCCTTCTCCGCGGCGAGCGAGGGGGGGGGAGGTTGGAGGGTTTCTCCGAATGGCTTAGGCGACCCGTCCTCCACCTCCTCCTCCTCCTCCTCCTCCTCCTCCTCCTCCTCCTCCTCCTCCTCCTCCTCCTCCTCCTCCTCCTCCTCCCCTCCTCCTCCTCCTCCATCTCCTCCTCCCCCTCCCCCTCCTCGTCCACCTCCTCCTCCCCCCCCTCCTCCTCCTCGGGTCGCCTACGGCCCCGGGGGAAACCGCGCAGGGGAAGGTGAGAAGGAGAAGGCCTTCTCGGAAGGTCTGGGAGTCCCCCCCGCCTTCGGAGAGGTTTCCTAAGCCTGCTCCGAAGACAGGCGAACACTTCTCAGGAGGGCGCGAGGGCGCCCTCCTGGGTGGTCCCGCCGCCTTCGAGAAGGCCTTCTCCTTCTCGTTTCCCCGCCTTCGCTCGCCGCCGATTCTTTTTTGTTAAAAAACTTGGGGCCTGCCCAACATCACCGAGCGCGTTCCACTACTTGCAAAGTGCCTACTCGCAGACGTCCGAAAAAAACACACGTCTGCTCTGACGTAATCTGTCGTAGATCCCCCGCGGGGGATCCAGGCCATTCGCGAGCAGTTGCTTTGCGAGTCCTGGAGCGCGCTCGTCTGCAGCAGGTGCCCATGATCACCAAGGTCCAGAAGACGGTGGAGGCCACCGGCCGCGCGGTGGGCAGCGAGGGGCCGCTCGCCGCTCCCGCTCTCTCCCCCCTCCTGTGCGCTCAAGTCGGGCATGTCCCTCTGTAGGAGGCATACATGTCCAAGAACAGCCCAGCACAGGATCAGGGGATGATGTTTTGACTCTGTTCGACCATTTGCACGTGTTTACTGCATTTTCACAAGGTTGCTTTCGTCAAACATCCGCCTGTAGGAGGACATGCCCATGCCCCTTCCGCCCCCGACAAGCCCTCCAATCGTGGGCGAACGGGTCCAAATCCCGAACGGGTTGTGTCTGGATGCGTTTTTTTTTTGTGGCTTGGCGCTGGTTTCGCCCGTGGATGTAGCGATCTTCAGAGGAGATGTTCGCGTGGTGCGACGTGCGTCCCGTCTTGATAATCATATGCGTTGTTCGTGGTGAAGTGTTGCAGCGTTTTGCTAGCCGTCGTTCTCAACGGTCGGTCGTGGTCGATCACTTCTTGCGAACGAAGGGCCGCGCGCCATGCGCCCTCGCAGACGGCAGCGCCGGCGCGAAAACGCAACGCAACACCGCACAGTCATCGAAAGATCATGCATCCAATTCGGGAACCATTCGGGCACAATTCGGGCACCACAACTTACTTGGGCCCGTTCGCCCACGACTCCAAGGTGTGGGCGCTGGTGCTTCGAGGAAGCGCTGCATCCCCCCCATGCGTGAGGGCCTTCGGCGCCTGGGGGACAAGTTCTAGGACAACCAGGGTGGAGAACAGGAGGAGGAGGAGGAGGAGGAGGAGGAGGAGGAGGACGAGGAGGACGAGGAGGAGGAGGAGGGAGGAGGACGAGGAGGAGGTG